ATCCTCTATCCTCTATCCTCTATCCTCTATCCTCTCTCCTCTCATCTCTCCTCCTCCTCTCTCCTCTCTCTCCTCTCTCTCTCTGCTCCCTCCCCTCTCTCTCCTTTCTCCTCTCTCCTCTCATCTCTCCTCCTCTTCTCTCTTTCTCTCTCTCCTCATGTCCCTCTCCTTCCCCTTCTCTCTGCTCCCCTCTCTCCTCCTCCTCTCTCTCTTTCCGCCTGTCTCACCCTCTCTCTTTACTCTCTCCCTCCTTCCCTCCCTCTCTCTTCCTCTCTCTCTCTCTCTCTCTCTCTCTCCCTGTCCCCCTGTCCATCTCCTCTCTCTCCTGTTGCACCTTCTCTCTTGTTTATTCTCTCTCGTTTCCTTTCTGTCAATGTCTCCCTCGCATCATTCTTCTGAATTATTCTCACTATCTCTCTATAGCGATGACGTCACAACACGCGCGGAAAGCCAGCCGGCTAGCAGACGTACGTGTGCCGCGTCGCCGACTTTAATCGAACTTTAAATTTAGGATCGACGTTGTTTGTGTTTTAGCCCGTCTGCCATTTCAGCGCGTCAATAAACTTCTTCTTTTTAAGTGTGAAAACGTTTTAAAGCGTGATTACTACGTGAGTGCAGGCGGCGGAGGGGGGGGGGCGTGCTGTTTGCGTGTTACAGCCTGTTCTGCTAGCATCTATGACAAATACGACATACGCATAATACGCTATTCAATGACACTATTTGTCATTGGAAGATTCTTTTTATGACAAATATTGTTGTATGTGTTGTGCGCATCATAGGAGTTTAGGAGCGCTATTATGAACGCAAACAGTGAATTTCAGCTGTAAAGCGGAACGAAGTTGACTCGCCAATATTTGTCATAGGAAGAATCTTCCAATGACAAATAGTGTCATAGGCGAGCGTATATGCGTATGTCGTATTTGTCATAGATGCTAGCAGAACATGTTGTGTGTTTCACGCTGTGTTGGTAGTGGGTTAGCGGTTCATTCAGGAGACGCTTGGCAGTATCCCCCCATTTCTCTCCAATGCTCCCCTCCACCTCTCCCTGCCACCTTCCCCGCGCAAACAACCTCTATCTTGCAATACCATTTTATTCTTCTTTCCGATTCCTTTCCCGAATGACCTTCTAGTTCTTTTGCCACTCGTTCTATTGCAATTCTATTGTCCTTCTCTTTGCTTCTTCCCCACACCTCCCACCACCACCAATACTGTCATGCACTCTCTCTCTCTCTCTCTCTCTCTCTCTCTCTCTCTCTCTCTCTCTCTTTCTCCCACCCTCCCTCACTCCCTCGGTTCCTCTCTTGCAGCATCTGCCTAGCTCTATGACTCTCGCTATCTTAGTGGTGCCGTGGTGTAACGAATCGATGACATGCTATATCACTGGCAGTTTCAACAAGTCAGTAAAAATAAAAATAATGTATAATAAATCTTATTGCACCACTAATAACTCTCCTATCTGCGGTAAACAACTCCTCACTGTTGCTATCTATACGGCTCTCTATTGCTATCTATACGGCTAACTGTTGCTATCTATGCGACTAACTATTACTTGTATGACGTAATACGCAGTTGAAACTCATGCGGCGAATTTTATGATTTTATCTGAACGTGTTTATGAATATCAGAAATGAACTTTATTCGATGTGGTGTGTATTTTATTTCCACGCGATGTTATTCTATTCTATTATGGGAACATCTCTGCTCGTTCCAGCGTGGCTATGTGACACTTCTACTGCATTTTATATCGTTGGAGTTTAAACGTAGCGCAGTAATCCTATTTTAATTAAGGCTTGTAGCAAACACAGTCAAGTTGAGTCAACTCTCCCGCTACCGGCCACCCTCTGGTCCAGGGCCGTAGCTTTTGGGGAGAGTAAGGGGGCAGCCACCCCTCCTAGATTTTGGAGCAAAATCAAAAAATAAGTTTAGCTAATAATTGTAAATAACCCTAACGTGATTTTCTTGACCACTTATCCATGAAAGCCTTGTCTCAGACCCACCACACCTACCGCACTATGAATGTATTTTGCCCCGCCCCCTAGAAATTCGTTCTGCCTATGGCCCTAGGGCCCGTCCATTTAGTTGGATTTTCTGTGAAGTTTGGTTTATAGGTGGGCCGATTCCAGGCACATCTTACATGTCTCAGATGGTGTTGCGACCTAAAGAATTATTCGGTTTAACGTGGGATTCGGTTTTGAGGGCGTTCGAAATTTGAAGAGTTGACTGTAGTCTGTACGTGATTGTTTGAATAGCAACGAAGCTAGCTAACCGTAGTAACACACGTGTTAGTAGCAATATAGCGATGAATTTGTTTTGCGTGGATGTATCGCGTGTTTGATGTTGTGGGGGAAGCTGCTAGGCGGGTGCTGCCAGCTTGCGGTGGTTCAATCTTGCGCTTGTGTTGTGTGGTTTTTTGGAAAATAATATTAAAAGGTCTATTATTTTCTTACGAATATTCCGAAGAGTTATATTTATTTAATTCTCTCTCTCTCGCGCACACGCACGCATGCAAACCACAAATGCCCGCAGACATGTACGTATACACACACGCACGCAGACATATGTACGTATACACACGCACGCACGCACGCACGCACGCACGCACGCGAACCACAAATGCCCGCAGACATATGTACGTCGTATACACACACGCACGCGAGCCACAAATGCCCACAGACATGCACGTATACACACACGTGACACGCGCACACGCACGCACGCACGCGAACCACAAATGCCCACAGACATATGTACGTATACACACGCACGCGAGCCACAAATGCCCGCAGACATGCACGTATACACACACGCGCGCACGCACGCACGCACGCGAACCACAAATGCCCACAGACATGTACGTATACACACACGCACGCGAGCCACAAATGCCCGCAGACATGCACGTATACACACACGCGCACGCGCACGCACGCACGCGAACCACAAATGCCCACAGACATGTACGTATACACACACGCACGCGAGCCACAAATGCCCGCAGACATGCACGTATACACACACGCGCGCACGCACGCACGCACGCGAACCACAAATGCCCACAGACATGTACGTATACACACACGCACGCGAGCCACAAATGCCCGCAGACATGCACGTATACACACACGCGCGC